ACTCACTATTGGGACTGGTTTTGTTTAACATCTTTGTTGATGATCTGGATGAGAGAGTTGAGTGCTCCCTCAGAAGGTTTGAAGATGACACTAAATTGGTTTGGGAGTGTTGATCTGCTCGAGGGCAGGAAGGCTCTGCAGAGGGACCTGGACAGGCTGGATCAGTGGGCCAAGGCCAATGCTATGAGGTTCAAGAAGTCCAAGTGCCAGGTCCTGCACTTGGGTCACAACAACCCCACGCAGCGCTACAGGCTTGGGGGTGAGTGGCTGGAAAGTTGCCCAGCGGAAAAGGACCTGGGGGTGCTGGTCAACAGCTGGCTGAACATGAGCCAGCAGTGTGCCCAGGTGGCCAAGAAGGCCAACAGCATCCAGGCCTGTATCAGAAACAGTGTGACCAGCGGAGGTGATCGTGTCCCTGTACTCAGCACTGGTGAGGCTGCCACTCGAACCCTGTGTGCAGTTTTGGGCCCCCCACTACAAGAAAGACATTGAGGTGCTGGAGTGTGTCCAGAGAAGGGCAATGAAGCTGGTGAGGGGTCTGGAGAACAGGTCTTATGAGGAGCGGCTGAGGGAACTGGGGTTGTTTAGTCTGGAGAAGTGGAGGCTGAGGGGAGACCTTATCGCTCTCTACAACTCTCTGAAAGTAGGTTGTAGTGAGGTGGGGGTCAGTCTCCCAAGTAACAAGTGATAGGACAAGAGGAAATGGCCTCAAGTTGCACCAGGGGAGGTTTAGGTTGGCCATTAGGAAAAAATCTCTTTACCAGAAGAGTTGTCAAACATTGGAACAGGTTGCCCAGGGAAATGGTGGACTCATCGTCCCTGGAGGTGTTCAAAAAACATGTAGATGTGGCACTTCAGGACATGGTTTAGTGGGCATGGTGGTATTAGGTCAACGGTTGGACTTGATGACCTCAGAGGTCTATTCCAACCTAATGATCCTATAATTCTAAGCCCTGATAGCTGAGACATTTTACATCCTCAAACCCATGGTAAAGCCATTTAATTTATTAATTTCTTATTTAGGTTCAGCCTCAGCCATGTAAAGCTATGGTTAAGACAAAACTATTACAGGTGGATAGTAATCACATGGATTGCTTTTTCCAGCTACATTTAAGCTCACAGTTCACATTTAGCTGCATTTGGATGTCTCCATTTCAAAAGAGATTTAGGTTATGGACTCCTTATCTGTGAAATCTGTGAATCCATTTATCATTTAACATTTTTCTAGTTAGAAGACAAGGTAACCACAAAAATGGGAGAGGCAATGCAACCTAGCATTAACTACACAGAATCAAAATGTCTGCTACGCAGGAAAATTCAACATTGACCATTTGTTTGCCTGACATCAAATGGGGCATTAAGAATTAATAATCACAGATTTTTGTCAACTTAAAAAAGATTAAAGATTTCAAACCAATTAAAGTCATTAGATTATCAGTGTGAAGGCATACATATTTTTCTGGCTTCAGAACAAACTCTGGGAGTTAACAGGAAACAAATATGCCTCCTGCAGCCTTTAGAAAAGGGTAACACTGCTGCCAGCTTCCATCCTGAAAAAGTGATGTTATTTAGCTTGGGAAAAAAAAAAAAAAAAAAAGCTGTAGAACAACTGGGGCCAAGATGTGAAATGTAAAATCTGTATAAACAAACCAAGGTAGCTTACAGATACATAAAGCAAGAATATTATCCACTTTTCAAAGCAGAACACTGTTAAATTACTTGCCAAGACAAATTAACTCATTATTTACAGAATGCAATTTTTCACTGTTGTCACCTTACTTCTGCTTCTCTATCCTGGTGTCCCTCACAGGTGAGAATCTGGTCAAGGATAGCGAAACTCAGGAACCATAGTTTAGGATTTTGCAAGTATGGATTTGCCCCATGATAATAAAATATATCATTCCTCATGAAGCCAAGTCAGAAAGTATCAATATTTGGGCTGTTTCCCAGCAAAGACTTTGAGCACCTTACTTGATTCTTCCAAAATTCAAAGCTACTTCCTCTAACAGGGGATGTAGACTAAATGCTGAAAAACTCATAGACGGTTCTCCAGCAATGTAGAGGCACAGGTATGGATGGGTAGCTATGATTATATCTCCTCATTGTAACTTCATCGTGTTCCAAAAACCCACCCCACCCTACCATGGGTCAACTTGTGTCCACTAGCTGTTGTCAAGCAAAAACTATGCTATTTTGAATGACTTTCACCCCAAGGGTGGTGTTTTTTTTTTTTTTTCTTACTTGTTTTTTAATGGATTCTCAGCTAGGTAGACCCCCATGACCTGAGAGTCTTCTGTTCAGGGAAGCTACTTCAGCCTTTGCTGACCAGCATCCCATTAAGCCTGTCCAGGAAAACGGACTCCCACAGGAACTTCTGTAGCACACCCCCAGCTCGGTAGATCCTCTCTTCTAGGTATCTGTACTGTTTTTTATTTACAGTTGAACTTCAGGTCATCTCAGGATGTGGGGAATAAAACCAATTCCCAAGTTCTATCTTCCTCACTTCACTCCCTCATGTTCATGTTGCTTGAGTCAGTACCTCCCTGTTTTTCTTGCTCCCTGATCTATGCAGTTCCCCAATGCAGCTCAAATCCTTTCTACCATTTTGGTGCTACTCTTACTCCACATTCCCTTCCCTATTTTTCTCTTGCCTCCACCCTCCGTATCTCCCAGTCTTAATATTCTCTTACTCTGCACCAGTCCTACTCATACAACTCATCCTCCACACCCAAATAATAGCCCTACGCTCTTGCTTCCACTGCTCCAGACTTCTTAGTTCTTCCAGCTATGTTGCCTTTCCTCCTGCAAGGAACAGTGCCTACTGGGACATGCTTAAATCACATGTCCTTCTTCCAAGCCCCGCCCCATGCTCCTTCTCTGCTTTTCCAAGCAGACCACCACCACTGGTGATGTTCCCAATGCTGCCACAGAAATTAATCTGCTTATAGAAATAAAAACAATTTCTTTAATTAGGAATGCTGCTACAGGTTTGGACACTGGGATTGTTCTGGTAGCCTGAAGATGCCCATTGGAGCTCTCTGACATGTGTGACAAGGGTATAACTACTTTACCTTTCTCACTTGCCCTGCATTGCAAAACCAGAACCATGGTTATTCCCAAAGCTCTTTTTGCTGACTGAAAGGGTCTATATCCTGTCTTTTTGGGCTCAATGGTGGCAAATAGCGTGCTTAATCTGGCTTGAGAGGTCTTCAGTTATCTGTTTTTGGAAGTCCTCTAGAAAAAAGAATGTGTCTTAATGACTGGCAAGCTGAAAGACATCCTGGTGTCTCCTGCATGCCTGAAATGCACAAACTGACCTGCCACAAACACAAGAGGTGCGAAGTTATTTGCTTTGATTTTGAGCAGCATTTCAAGCATACGAAGGAAGGCACCACTACTAAATAAGCTGAGAATGTTCATCATCTCTCTAACAGAAAACCACTGCCACTCAAAATTATTTCACACTAAAAGGGAAATTCGTATTAAAAAAATAATGGGAGTGCAGTTGTACAATTTTAATGTACTGCAAAGGCTTGACTTTAGAAACAGGTTCTAATGCTACTCTCGCACACAGCTACTCTTCCAGAAGACTGTGTTGAGCATCTCTTATTGACATACATCAATATGCCACGCTCACTGAATTTTACTTTAAGATAATATTTCAGATGAAAACTCTTTGTCTGGCTAATGATCCAGTGCATCTGTGCAGAAGCTACTCAGAAGAATTACAAAATCCATTTAGTAAGGTCACACAACTTTAGAAGTCCAGTTTATTGAATAAAATAATTTTATTTTTAATTTTTTTTTTTTAAACAAAGTTTATGGAATCTGAAAGTAGACGATAAAAGGTAACTTTTAACTGAGACTTAATATGGGTGATTCTGTACCCAAAAATATGTCAAACATTAAGATCATAAAGAACTCCAAGGTTCTGTGCTATACTGTATGATATGTAAACAGATTTTGAAAATATTCTATTATATATTTTGACACAGTATGCACAAATTTAAAAAAATAAAATAAAAATGAAGTTTAAATGCCTCAAGGGATTTCCTAGAAGTAAAGCCATTTGAAGAGCCATTTACAGTCTGCAGTGACAAACTTCTATATAATTAAAATACTTCCTTTTTTCCACAATGCAGAATAAGCTGCTGAAGGCAACTCCCTATCAAAGCGACGCCAGCAACACAGATCTGATTGTATGACTCCAGCACTTAAAAGAGCACATTGGTTATACATGGCTTTTAACCTTGGGCTACAATTATGCTACCAGAACTAAATTCAAGTCTAAATCAGTCATGTAGAGAGGTGTGTGCTGTCTGAACATTGTTTAGAGTCCTTGTTTTCCAGATCTGATGAAGGTGGTGAAGGCGCTCTGAGGTTCTTGTGCTTACATTCAGGGCGGGATGAACTTTGCAAATACCAGATTCTCCAATTAACGACAAACCACAGATCCCAAAGTAGGCATGTAAAGCATCTGAAAGAAGGACAAGAAAGGAAAAAGAAAGTTATGACAGGCCATCAGGCTGTAATAGCCAATTGTTCCCAGATTCCAACACCCCTGAATAATTACCAGCCAAGGAAAACAAACAAACAGGTACTACATTTTAAACTCGAGTTTTGACAGAAGAAATCAATTTCTGCCCAAAGCCACCAGGGTGAACTGACAAGTCTGCAATCTCTAAAACTACAGTCTAGTTTTGTTTTGTAACAATTCTTGCCCACTACTTTATTTCTTCTGCATGCTCAGACCAAACAGCAAAAGAATCTGAGCATCTGGAAATATTTTTTTTCCCCAAACACAAGAGTTTTCTGGCTGATTACTTGATGAACAGCTGACTATTGAAACACAAAAATTAGTGCCATTAGCTGCCAAACAGCAAGACTTGGAAGTATGAATGAAGTCATTACTTTACCTGGCTTCCCTGCCTTGCTGAGAGAATATGCCAAGGAATTTACGAGGTGGCTTGATCAGCCACAACAGATAACTGCCACCAAAAAGGGATGATCTTATTTTCCCCTGCCCCATGCTGCTCCTGCTGTCTACCTTATAGCAGCACTACAGCTTGCTGAACACCCTCCATGACCTAAAGCAATTGAAAAAACATGGAAGAAAACTAACCCAAGCAGGAGAAAATGGGTTTCTCTGACATTTTAGGGAATTAAAGTGGTTTGCAGAAGGTTTTGATATACACCAAAGCTAGTGCAGAAAGGAGAAAGGACATGCAGCTGTACTTGGGAAGCTGGGAGGAAGAGAAGTGAGTCTGCCTGCTCTGGGCAGCAGCAAGCCATTAGATGGGATTATCTGCCCATGAAATCACAGGCTAAAGATGGAAAGACGATGTGAACTTAATGTGGCCCTCACAAATTCTCAACACTTAGTAATCTTTTGGAGGTGTTGGTAAATTCATATCTGACTAAAATAATATTGCAAGAAGGTATCTGGATAGAGAGATTCTGAAAGAAGGCTTCTGCTTATCAGCATTAACACACAGACAAAAGCATGCTGAGCAGATACAGCCCCTACCAACTTTGCAGACAGTATGTCAGGCAAGGAGACCTCAACTTCAGGAAATACAGCGTATCAACCCCAGTGAACACCTGCACTGATATGGACTGAAACCATATACAAACCTAATGACCTGTATATAGCTATTTGCCAAGTTTAACCACAAAGGTCAACAGCTGTGCAAACCCATGCTAATTTAATACTCAAGTTAGTTCTAGCCAAAACACATATATGCAGCCTATATACCCCTCTGTTTCAAGCTATGAAATCCACCAAGTTTTTCAAGGTCAAAAAAAGACAGGCCCAAGCCTTTTGTTTCATACGTAACTCACAAATACAAAATGCAGCATGCAACCTTGGACCTCATCAGCTGCCATCTTAAAAACATAACAAAGTAAGGTGTACTTACACTTCTATAACAGCAAGTCTCACTTCAGTGTTTTATATGTAGTAACTGTGCACAATCTCATTTTCATCCTCTCACTATTTTATGCTAAATTGTTTGATCTTTCTCTTGCATAACCTGTAATTCACATGCGCTTCCAATTCTTTGATACTGCATACTGTTTAAAGATAGCAAGTGAGATACCTCAGAGTTGTGGCACGGCCTCCTAGGGCATGCAGCAGGACATCTAGTAATTTCAAAGAAAACTTTATTTAAATCTATTAATGACTAATGCATAAGCCTGAAAAAACCCCACACAGCTCAGGTATGTGTTCTAGTGAAATATTGTGGATTGATCCTGGTAGGCAGCTAATCACTGCTCAGCTGCTTGCTCACTTCCTCCCCCTCCACGCCCAGTGTGAGAAGAAGAAAGGAAGAGTAGAAGTCAGAAAACTCATTGGTCAAGATAAAGACAGTTTATAGGGAAAGCAAAAGCCATGGGTACAAGCAAAACAAAATAAGGAATTCGTCCCTCACTACGTCCCATCGGCAGGTAGGTGTTCAGCCACTTCCCGGAAAGCAGGGCTCCATCGAGCATAATGGTTAGTTGTGAAGACAAACACGGTAACTCCAAACGCCCGCCCCCGCCCCCCCACCAGCTGTTACTGCTGAGCACAATGCCGTGTGGTATGGGGTACCCCCTGTGGTCAGTGGGGTTCAGCTGTCCCAGCTGTGCCCTGTCCCAACTTCTGGTGCACCCCCAGTCTGCTCGCTAGCAGGTCAGCCTGAGAAACAGAAAAGGCCTTGACACTGTGTGAGCACTGCTCCACAACAGCTATAACATCAGTACAATGATATTCAGAAGATTTTTTCAGGTAAAACCCTTTCCTATATTTGAAAATCTATAGATCATTATAAACAAAACAGCAGTCATGCCCTGATTGATTCACTTGTTACGATCATCTTTGCAGAGGATTACTAGCATTTAAAAGTCGTTTGACTTTTTAGGTTTATTTTCAAAGGCAAGGAAGTTTTCTAAGCTTACTGCTCAATAATCATGCTGGTCTAAACACTATTTTAAATAAAGAAAAAGTGTTAAATAATGCTACTGGCCTCCAGAATCAGCAATGCATTGATGTCTGTAGCACGGGAACATCAGGACTACAAAATAGTATTTCCCTGAACCATCAGTTGTGAAAAGTTACTTGCAACTTTGAAAGTCCGTGAAATACACAGATTATCACAAGCAGTTGATTGTTTTTTGCAATTTCTTCTAGTCTTTTTCCTAAAAACTTCATTGCACAGCAAAGACAGGCTGACTATCCAAATCTAAACAGAGGTTTTACAAAGTAGAAGCTACAGAAGTTCAAATTCTGAATTTATCTTAGAAAGCACCTTTGGAAAAAATCGCATATTCTTACTTTGCAAATTTGCCCTGGAATATTCCGTCACGTTTGAGTTTTCCAACAAAACGAAACTGAGGCCACTGTTAGCAGCTTTACAAATGCTAAATGCCCCAAGGAGAATGGATAATTTCTATCCATTTTCAGCCTTAACAGAATTGTTAACTCATTTGCAAGATGACCCATACCACTCTCGGTACTTTCACTTTTTGCATTTACGCTTAAGTCAAGAGGACTGTGTACACTTAACCAACAGTAGGCTTCTGAGAACAATCGAGCTGCACAGATGCTTCATGTTAGTAAAGTGTAAATCTTTATTGTGGACACACAGCAATAAAAAGACAGCTTGCCTTTCAGATACTAGGCTGAGCTTATAGGATGCTCAGCTGTATATGTATGACAATGAAGTCACAGTTCCACAGAAGCAATCCTTACAATGCTGTATTTATAGTCATTCTTCACATTAGCACTGCATCAATTTTACTCTTTCCTTCAAAACATGAACATATACTTATGTCACCATCTGCCTGAGGAAAGCATGCTGCAATAAGCCCACCTATCACAACAAAACGAAAGAGACAGCAACAGCTTGCTTTACAAGAAACAGCAGTTTTCAGGCTGGAACACCACACAAATCAAGGAAGACAGCTTTATTATTATTCTTGCCTTTTCAAATCTCATCTCAAACAATCACAGCTATGCTAAGAGGCAGGTTAGGGAACTTTGCACATGATCAAGGTTTTAAACAGATTTTTTTTAATTCCCACCTCACTAAGGAAATGGTCCGTCAAGATAAACAGATGTATTTCCTCCAAGTGATACTGACTGATCTATGTAATGCAGAGTAAGAACAGCTAAAGTCCTCAGAAATCCCAGACTGGTTTTCAAGGGAGTGAGGGGAGCACATCTATCACAAGCACTGTGTTTTCCTTGAAAAATTCTCAACTGTTGTTCAAAATGAAATGATGAAAGGATGAAACATCAGGGCACAGATTCCAAAGAGAGTCATCCTTTATTATGAATAATTTTTTATCTGGTCAGTTTACAGACTGTTTATGTTCCCTGTACAAAATGACACTAGGCAACTCTATTGGCAAAAGGTTTGTTTTTACACATTTGCAACACCTTTGTTGAATCCTGCCATCTTTTAAAATTATTTCAAATTAAAAGATGGTAGCATCTTTTCAAGTTTTTCTCTCCTCAAAAGGATAATAATTAACTTTCAGATATACTACATAAAATTGCTATGTGTAACTACAATCTGTAAATCTAGTACATAACTATGTAAACTTTGACTGGTTTTGCATATATCAATGGCTTCTGAATAACCTTAAAGGATTCCTTTATTAAGGAAACAAGTGTTTTGTGATACTTTACTCAGACAATTTACAAAGATACCCACTGCACAATATTCTCTTTAACTACAACAGTTAAACACATACAGAAAGGCTTGTCCAGCTCTAAACAGACAGTAATACTCTTAGCAATAGTCTAAACAACAACAGCTCACTTGATCTGTAACTGAACAAGGAAAAACTACACCTCCCTCTTTCCATTTAAATCACGAAAATTTCATTATATTTTAGTGTTTTTTTTTTTCCATTTTTTGAAGGAGTCTGAGAAGGAAACTTCCTTTGCACCTCTCAGATGTCTGACTGCTGGAACGTATTTCTCACTTAGAACAAACACATCATTTTGAAAAGTAAATTTACCTGGATGGCTATCTGGCCACTTGGCAAATCCACCAACAAGGCGATCTTGAGTTGACAGGATGTAATTTCGGTTTTTCTCAAAATTTGTATATTGGAATATGTTCAAGAGCTGAAAAGAAGTTAGACCATTACAGTAACATACTAAATCTTAGTGTATTTTTAATACTAAAATGTAGTGCCTATTTATGAGATAAACAGTGATAGCAGAGATAGCACTAGCCCAGTAAACCTCCATATCCTGCATTTTTGTGGGGTGAAAGGCCTTTATAGTGAATTGTGCATATTTATGCACTTGGGCCAAACATGTAACTCTTTCAAGCAAAAAAAAAAGATATGATGCTTAAGGAAATCAAAGCAAGTCAATAATTATCCTGCAGCTGTTCTGTACACTACCTTCAGTGTTGCTCCCACCCAAAAGGAATAGCAAGTGTCTACAGGTTTGTTGGGTCGTCCATGGTAGCCATTCTGTTGTCTCATTATACACCACCTTCTTATTCTGTTCAGTTCTTTTTCTGAAAAAACTTCCTCCAGTTTACCCATCAAACACAGTGATGCAATACCACAAAATGTAGAGCCACCTGTGAAGAGAGAGTTGTTTTTGCAAAGTTTTGATACTCAAGACTTTTACTGAAGTCTGTATGACCTCAGTCAGAACTTTAACTAGGGTAATAGTGATTAAATCATTGGATTTTTAGAAGTATAAAAGTGTTATTTTTAAGTCTAAAATCCAAATAAATAAAACCAATTTAGTTCAGCATGTATACCAAAGGGCAAAAAAACCCTCACACCAACTCTTGCACAAATAAACCTGAACTCATTTTCTTAAAGCTCGATTGCTTCTTAATGCCGTGCACTTGACATTACACAGCAGTCCAGAAATAAGTACATTGCAATGCAACAGAAAACATTTCTTCATACATAACTTAAAAAAGAAAGCTTTGGGATGCCAGTAATCAGACTGAAGCGGAGATGCCAAAGGCAGCCTCAGATACAAACCTCCAGGGCATATAAACTGACAGAAGTGTCTGATGAGCAGAAAGCCAAAAAAAATTTAAGAAAAAAAACCCCAAACACATGGTTAATACTATGAAAAGACTGCTGGACTCTCAAGGTTGTAATAAACACAAATTACGCTTCTAAGGAATTTTTTGTGGTCAAGGAAACTGCATGGTAAAATTTGGAATTGGAAAAGAAACTCATGTTCTTTGTCTGAGTATCACGCCATCTCTTTTTAAAGCTCACCAAAACTCTTTCTGAGTCTACTACCTGATATGGTAAAACTACAGCCTGGGAAAGACCGAAAGCAAGCTGTTGATAGAAGACTTGGGGCCCAAAGTTCATTACACTACCCTGGTGCTAGAAGACCCCAGGAACTGTAAAGTTATTTTCATGCTGATGCTGAAATGCAGCAGGAGAAGGATGCTGAAGTAATGCTATCTGTTATCACTGGCATTCTACAGTAACTTATTTAAGTAATTTTTTAAATATGTCAGGGTATAATTTAAGTTTTTCAACTTTATCCATCCTGCAGGAAGAAAACAGATGGAATCCTATCAAAGTTCAACACTAAGGACAAAACTAGCAAATATTTGATAGATTTACTATCAGTGACATAGAAGTCAGTAATTTCTCTGTCACAAGCAGACCACTACATGGCATAAAAACATTTTGCTCAAAAATAGCAGTCTCTTAGGAATTCCTATCTTCACAGCTACCAACTGCTTACAGTAATTAACTGCTGCTTCAACATGAGCTCCCAATGGATGCTGTAATCTATCAGAGGAAAAGTCTCTAGGTTTACTAATAGCTGCTGAAACTGGAGATTATCAGGTGCACTGCACAAAAGATCTTGCAGATAAATTCAAAGCAGCAGTGGTACACATGGAAAAAGTTTGCTCTGTCAGCAAGAGATAAGACCTACTGCCAACACCTTTCAACAAAACATTCATGAGGTCAGATTAATCGAGCTAATATATTAAGAGCCCATCTGGTCTGATATTAAGCTGGAACTAAGGTAAGAAGACACAATATTCTGAGGCGCGTTTTCAATTTGCTTCTCTTCATCCCACTTCCTTAAAATCAGAAAAGAAGGAAAGGTATGACATAACCCATACCTCTTAGAGCATTTTCAATCCCAGCATTAAAAATAGGCATAGAACATTTTAACATTCTTACCATGAGATTCCAGTCCAGCTCCCTGTGCCAGGCCATTATCATAAGACTGAAGAAAAAAAAAAACCCCACAAACCAGTTACTTTAGAACCACATCACTTTCACAGACATTGCAATTTCTCAGTTTACTAGCAAAATTATTATCAGACCACAATGACCATTCAACCTGACGAAATTCTGAACCTACACCTCAAAAAGCTGTTGGCACAAAACAGTTAACAGATCAGCCTTGTTTCAATGCAGGCAGTTTTTATGACTTTCATGGAATTCATTTCAGTTGTGACTTATGTTAAAAGTCTGAAAACGAATAAAAATTTCTTTGCCAAAAAGGGAAAGCAAATGATGCAGATAAGCATTAAAGAAAAAGAAAATAAACCTCATCTTTTTTCTTTATAAAAAAGGAAAAATGGGTATGCAATCTCAAATAAAAGTAAATGGATAAATTAAATCTGTCTCTAACCCAAAAGCTGGTTAACATACAAAAAGACAAAATGCCAGGTACTACTGTGTGTACAAGGAATGCCTCAGCAAGGAGCAAGAACACCAGGCTTTAAAAAAATGAAGATGGCAGGGGGAGGAAACCAGAAGCAACAACATAATAAACAATACCATTGGACTAAACTTGACCTGCCTTACAAAATATCACTATTAAAAATACCTCAGCAATGCTGAAAAATCACTTTGTTAAGTGAAACAAAAAGGAGAAACTTGAGTCTGATGGATAAAGCACCAAGAATATTACACTACAGGTCTGTTACAAGCAATCTAGAAGATGATATTGTATATATAGGAATAACAATCTTTCTTCCCTAAAAATTCATTAAACCATTTTATAAGAAACAAGAGATCACAGTAAGTTATTCATAAAATGGAAAATGTTTATTTTACAAGAGTTCATAGAATATGTAATAAATTATCACTGGACAAATATCAAATGTTTATTAGGAACAAAAATGAAGTTTAACTTTTTAAGTTAAATTACACAGGTCCTACACCTTCTATATTAACTGCTCAATTCAGGATTGATCTGATCAGACAGTTAGAAAGCAATTTTAACTTCCACCCCCGCCAAGTGCTGACTATCAATCTCTCACATTTTCTCCAAAACATCTAACAGTGGCTAGTAGATACAGGACACCTCGACAGACCACTAATCACTCCCATAGTGCTAACTAAAGAATGGCTACAGGGCTAGCATGTCTTCAGGAATGACCTAAGGATTATTTTGTAGACCTGTTTTTAAAGCTGACAGTGAGAAGAAGGGAAACAGAAGCAGACACAGAAGCTACATTAAATCTATATTCCTCCGTTTTTCAGTCGTTGCCACAAGTTGAAGCAACTAAAAAGATTAACATCTGACACATGTATTTCAAGCTGCAGCTTGACCTTCTGAAGTTTGAACCAGTCCATTTTAAGTAATCCCTATGAACATCTGAACGTTAAAACACACAGTGTAAACTCTTCCCACTGCCTTTTGAGGATGCAATGCAAATGTGCTGCCTCCACAGACCCGCTAATTGCTAAGCAAAGGCAAGCTGATTAGCAAAGCTATGCTGGCAAAGCTAATTAACTCTACCAACTGTAATTGTAAGAGGAGGTGGTTTGCTTCATGTATGACAAAGTAATTAGCTCGGGAGAAAAGCTGTTAAGAGTGCATCCCAGACAGTGTACTACGTTGGTCTGTTCAATTAGCTTGAAATTTTAATAGACGATAGTTGACCTTTGGCTGACTGCTGCCTATTTATATTTACAGACAGCAGCTGCTCTGCGGGGACTTGCCTGCATTAAAGAACTAGGGAAATATTTTTGTTTCTTTGTCCTTTTGAAAAGACCTAGGAAATCACATGCAAAAGAGGCTCTACATTACTGCAACATGAAAACTACATAATTAAATACTATCCTCAGGAAATGCGTAAATCCAGTAGGGTAGAATCTTTGCTTCACAGTCTAAAAGTTTCACGACCAGCTTAGTTTTATCAACAGATGCATATACCTGCATTTCAAGAGGACTCTACTAGACTAGAAGCATCAGATGATACATTTAAAGCTTCTTGCAATATCTCTACTCAAAAAACAAATTTGTGGTAAACAAAGCAAAGTTGCGAAAAGAAGGAATTTAGAGTCTGTGGAAGTAATTCAAAATTTCAGCATCGTAGTGTCCGTTGTTTTCTGACTAGTGACATATCTCACTTTTTAATTTGAAAGCTAAAAATCAACCTATGCTGATAAAAAGTATGTGATAGGAACCTGACTATTTTACTGACAATAAAACTGATCCAGTTATTTCTGTGACCAGTGTTGTGTAAACACTTTTTACACAAGTGATAATGAGAGGGCTATCCATTCTGTATGAAGATCAATTCTCTCTATCAGTTACTTTTCTGAATAAAGCAACACCATTGTTTCATGTTCCAATCTTATGCTGTTCTTGACATGCCTAACTACATAAACCCCCTCTCTCCCTCAGCTATATTGAATTATATCTGTCACAGTTCTTATACTGCGTCACTAGAGAGCAAATTCCAAAGAATAAGCTAAGAAAATACAGAAGCTTATTACAAAGATAATTGTGTTACTCTCCACCCAGATTAGTTCCCCTTCACATGTATGCCAATTTGAATAAACAAAAAAAAGTTTGTTAGATATCACTTGCTTCATCTGCGTGCAAACGATGACATATGATAGTAAAGCAAAATCACACCTTTCTGTCACAGCAGTTTACTCCTGACCAAGGCAATCTCTCTTGTTTTATAATTAATGGCAGCACCAGAATGAGGTAACATTGTAGCAAAACAGGATCAAGCATTTGCAAGAAAGTCTGTAGCAATAGTCGCTGTATAGTTACATAAGGATTAACGCATGAAACAATCTTAAACAGAATTTACTTTGAATTGTAATATATGTTATTTTTATCACTATTTACAAAATCTTAACAGATTATTTAAGTGATCAAGCCAACATTCTTGGACACCACATTTCGCATTCATTGTATTTATTTAAGAAATACACTTTAAGAAAGACTTGGTTCATGTGATATGTAATTGAACCAGAATACATCTCAAGGAGAGTTGTGGAAGGAGATGAAAGAGAGGAAAGAACAAGGACCACCCAAAATTATTTTCGCAAAGAGCTGCTCCCTGAACATTTGACACTTCTTCAGTCCCATCTTCAACTCTCCAATGTGACCAAGGAGGATGCAAAGATTTTGTGTATTTGCCTAGAAGTGCCAGACACTTTGCAACCAAGTTAGTGCACTGAAATACTAGTCTGACCAAGCAGTGAAGACCCAGAAAACCCAGACAAATCTAGTGTACATGTGCATACCAACTCTGCAGTGAATTAACAGTATACCAATGCTTTTAAAAAAGAAGTCATACTGAACACAGTGTATAGTCAATCTACCAATTCACAGTAAACCAGACAAAAGAATACAGCTTCTCTTCTTACACATTAGCGCATGCTAAGATGACTGCTGCCTACAGAACACTGCTTACAGGATCTCTTTAAATTACTCTCTGAGCTTGGCAGGAAAAGACATAGGTCTTTGTGATAAGCCACAGTGTCTTCTGGACTTTGACCACGCCCAGACTCCAATTTTACTTCAGTAGCCAACTGAAGTATTACTACAAGCCTTTCCAAGTGGTCTTGTTCTGTTCAGGCTTCACTTTTTTTTTTTTTTTTTTTTTTTTAAAAAAAAAGTGGTGTCAGTTTTTCCAGTAGAAGCATAGTAATTGGAATTTGCAGGTACAAGGATTAATGCTAAGTCTGTAGAAGTAAACTATTAAGTTTGGTTCAAGATCACTGTAGACAGTAAATCTCCAGTGCCACTTCAAAGCTCCAAACTCTAAAAAAAATCTTCACTTGCCTGCTCTACAGATGGCCACATATAGTGTTCTCTAGTTCTTGTCTCAGAAAGAATTGCTCCCTGCTCACTTCATCTTTTCAGTGCTAACTACTACTCTACATATCTCTGTCACACTCCACTTAATCATCTCATTTCCAGAATGAAAAGTCCTAGTATATTAAATGCTCCTTTTACACAAGCTAGTTCATACCTCTGACAATTAAACTCAATATACCCTTCCTAGTTCCACCGCACCGTTTGGGACCAAACCTGCACTCAAGTGTACAAAATGCTAACTAACAGCTAATGTGACATATAGAACACCACAACGAGGATTTTGCTTCTTGGTTTTGTTTTCTATTCTTCTTAATGTTTGACTCTCCTGTTGTATGTCCGCTAAGGTATCTGATTAAAGGCTAATCTCAGTAAACACAAAGGTCCAGCAAGGATCAGAGGAGGAAGAACCCTCCTGACCTAATCAGTGAAAAGCACGCACTCTGACTCAGCTGCTCCCTCAGACTGTGAAAGAAGAATGGATAAATCATTGTCCCCAGGTGAGACCCACCCAGAGGATTCAGCAGGGATATTCTCACCTTGGAAATCCATGCCAACTAAAGTGGGCTACTAACTACTGGGGTACAGGGGCTCTTGTGGGAGGGGTTCTTGTGGGATGCAGGGGAAGAAAATTCTGAGATTGTATAAAACTTGTTATGGGGTGTTTTCCAGGCAATCTAGGGGTGTGCACAACCTATTAGGGGACGGCTAGGGAAAGGACCAATGGTGAGAAAGTCAAGATCAAAGCAGATTGGGGAGGACCAAGCAAGGGAAAAGGGGGACAAAAGGTGCTAGTGGAGTGTGAACAGACTGCTGGTCTGTATGCTTGTAGGACTGAGCCCTGCCCTTTATCACCTTAGTCCGTCCAAGACTACGGAAGTGTGCCAGGAAGCTTCTCGTGATGTACAGTAAGAAATGCTTATGCATCTAACTACCTCCTTAAAAAATAACAACCAATTTTGTCTGAAGCAGGAGATTAAGTCTTTTTTAGACATGTTTCTAATTTAAATTTTACAGTCTTACTGCTGGCAGCAACTACTAAAACATACTGGTTTACAACAGAAGTTGTATGTTATCGTAAGTGTGGCTCTTTTTTCTGGAACAGAAGAGTTTACTACGTATGCTTACTCACATTCAGGGAATTGTAGTTTTCAAGCTTACTCGGCTTCTTTGAAAAACATTTATTTTAATCTTGGAAAATTAAACTCAATTAAACTGATGAAACATCATGAAAAAAACCTGAAAACTCTTTTGCTCCAATCAAATATGAAGACAGCTTCCACAGACACAGAAAAAACTGTGTATATACTAATATTTTCCTTCGTTCCAAAAATCTAATAAATAAATAATGAAGGGCATGACTTGAAACACTTATTAAGCTCAAACTGATGTCAATAATAAGATTTTCCTTTATTTCTGCGTATCATTTAAAAATCAGGACTACAGCTTATTGAAATGATGCATTTTATTGATGCATTGCTTTATTTATGCACTTTTTCTAAATTAAAAGAACATCTGGCCCCAGTTTTCCAAAACTTGCTTTCAATTTTAAATTGAGTTTTAAAGAAAAAAGATCAGATTTAATTTGCAATGAACAACACATTGAATGAAATTATCTTGCAAGTACACACATTACAATGAAAATACACATGCAAAAAAAAGTACTTTTTCATTTTCAACTCTGTAAAGTAGGAACAGAAAAGAAAAAAATTACCATAATACTTCAACTTGGACAGAGATTTTTAGTCGCAGTTAAGAAATAAAGCTAATAACTGTAAAATGTAGTAAGAAGTAACACTTTGCGAATACTCACCATACTTCTTCTAATGTAGTCTATTGCTTTTTTCATATCCATGCCTGACCAGTTATCGAGCATGTAGCAGATGCAGGAAGCACAGTACACAAATCTCATATCGTTCTCACTTCCTTCCAGCACTGCACAGAAACTAAAAGAAATGTTTCTGTCATTACACACTGTACAGCCTGTTATATCAGCAAATACAGAAAGCAATTTAAGGAATTCTGTAATTTTTCCTTTAAAAATTAGTTACTTTATTTACAGTATCCCATAAACACAACCCAAAGCTATGCTAGATTTTCTTTTTAGATGATGTGATTCTAACTAAACAAAGCAAAATTAATAGAACTATTAACATTTAGGGGCCTGGGTGACTTTATCTCCAGAAATGTAATGACACTGGCCTTTACTTATTCAAAGATGTTAATGCTTACAGTCTTTCACCTACGACAGTGTACACCGATGTATTAGTTACAGTTTCAATGCTTACTGGTTTGGGCAGGATTCTTTGCCTGCCTATAAATCTTAATAGCTCAAAAGGCTTTCTTTCCTGACTGCAACTTCAGGATCAGTTTCCCATGTACGTATAAATGTAATTCTTATTACCACCATTTCTAATACAAATGGTGAAAATTACCTTCAATCCAGTTTTTGATTTCTTACAGCTACAATCTTTCCAAACTCTATGTACATTTAAAAGTTGTTGTATCTGGGTTATCTAGGTACAATTCTGTGCTCACTCAGAGACCCCTAAAATGAAGATGCTGTGATTTGGATGCTTGTATCAGAAGCAGTGTGGCCAACAGGAACAGGGAAGTGATCGTGCCCCTGTACTCAGCACGGGTGAGGCCGCACCTTGAATCCTGTCTGCAGTTTTGGGCCACTCACTGCAAGAAAGACATTGAGGTGCTAGAGCGTGTCCAGAGAAGGGCAATGAAGCCACTGAAGGGTCTGGAGAACAGGTCTTATGAGGAGCGGCTGGGGGAACTGGGGTTGTTTAGTCTGGAGAAGTGGAGGCTGAGGGGAGATCTTATCGCTCTCTACAACTATCTGAAAGGAGGCTGTAGTGAGGTGGGGGTCAGTCTCTTCTCCCAAGTAACAAGCGACAGGACAAGAGGAAATGGCCTCAAGTTGTGCCAGAGGAGGTTTAGATTGGACATTAGGAAAAACTTCTTCAAGAAAAAGGTTATTAAGCACTGGAACAGGCTGCCCAGGGAAGTGGTGGAGTCACCGTCCCTGGAGGTATTTAAAAGACTCTGCAGACATGGTGCTTATGGCATGGTTTAGTGGTGGACTTGGCAGGGCTAGGTTAACAGTTGGACCTGATGATCTTAAAGGTCCTTTCCAACCTAAATGAGACTACGATAAACAGAAATAGGTAATAAGTTTAATTACCTGTGACAACAAAAAAACCTTAACTATTTGTTCTATGGTTTGCTGCCTGACAAGCCTCCATTTGGTTCAAAGAGCTAGTTAGTACATTTTGATGTCTTAACCATTTGCAAGAAGCCAGCACAATAGAGTACTTTGATGAGAGCTCCTGACAAATCTCTTGTAAAAAAAAAAAAAGAGGAAAAAAAAGGTACTTCGGGCTTTAAAGACAAACTTTTAAGCACGCTATCATCACTACGACACTCCTTTGATCCTGGAATTCAAATATTTAGTCCATTATCTTATTGCATAGAAAAGCCCCCAACATTTACTGGGAGATACCTTCATCTCCCTGAACCCCAATGGTGCCAGGCCTCGCTCTCTGGAGCTCAGACAGGGATGAACTCCATTGCTCTCTGGATATGGCAGAGGATGTTCTAGGAAACCAGAACACTTCTTAACATGTGCCAGTACTACGGTTTACAATCTCACCCCATCCTCAGGTGACAACTGCACTGTATGTTATCCAGATACTTCAAATCGCACTCAGCTAAGGTAGAAATTAAAATACACACATTTATTCCTAACGTAAAAAGAGACACTATAATTTCTAAAACCACACGCCAACATTGCATTTTTATACTTGTCTTACCAAAAAAAAAAAAGTTTTATTTATAGATGTCTAGGCAATAGGCAGACATTTCACCAAAATAAAAGCTTTCTTAACTCATACAGGGTGACAGCAATTTCATTGTGAAGTGAAAGACAATTCCTTCAGGAACAACATTTCTGTAATTCTGCATTTCTCAAAATACTCTGTCAAAAATAATATTCAGCAAAATTTAACAACGTAGATCATGTGCACCAGCAGAACTTTTCATTAGCTACCAGCTTCAGCCTGCATTAAAAACAAACTAAAACCAACCCCCACCAACATAAGTAGATCAAGGGGTATATACCACGTATTTAAAAATGCATGCAAAAAGGACAGATCTCACAATGAAGTTTAGTAACACTATACTCCTATTACAAGGAGTATATAGGCTAATTCATCCTGTATTATTGATCTCTTCCATCTCTCAAAACTAAATAAACCCCATTCTTCCACAAAGCAGAGCAAACATTATCATAGAAGTGTTCCAGGGCCCTATAAAAAACAAAAGAATACAAACACAGAATACCTCACTTACCTGAAGGACAGAGCAGAAAACCTACTATCCTGAAGACATAAACCAATCCATTACTTTCCAGTAATAAGTATCTGCAGTTGTAAGCAAATAACATTGTGCTCCAAAATACGAAGGCAAATCCATACACAAAGTGCTGTTTGGTCCTGTAAACAGTCATGTGTTCTATGACTGATACTGGTTACACACCAAAGTATTTTCTAACAGAAATAAAAGATTATACAGCTAATTTAATAAAAACCCCCATGTTTCTTACATTTCATTCCACATCTGGGTTTTCTATTAACCTTGCAGAGAGTTGTAGAATATAAAATATCTTTTACCTTCCATCTTCCAATTGGAGAGCTCTCAGTCCTGCCAGTATGGCATCTTTATTTACTCGACTTAAATCATCTCCAAGAATAACCAGACATGACAGACCTGTGTAAGTCATTGCTATGTGCCCACTATCATAGGGATGAGATATACCCGGACCCTAGAAAAATGGGAGAAAAAATAAAAATATTGAAACATTGTAAGACCTTATGTTACAATCAAGCATTTATTTAAAAAAAAAGAAAAAAAAAAAGAAAAAAAGAGGTTCTTTTCCATTAACTCACGATGGTTAAATTGAAGACATCCCACTCAGCTTTTCTAATCAAACTAAGATACTGTACAGCTTTGCTAAGACTGATATTTATGCAAGAGTTAAGGAAAAAGATGGGATGTGCTCAACTGTACGTAAGTTCGTCTTGACACACCACTGGGCACTAGCTTCCTGGCAGCTGGGTAAGCACCGTTAAACAGCCAAACCTCTGGAGGTCTCTTCAAAGATTTTACAGTGTAACGATCTACAAGTACAAAGCAGCGTGAAGGATTATTAATAATCTCTCTGCCAATTGAAACAATACCGAATTAGCCTCTCATCTACTTTCATCTGTATTCTAAAACAATAATCAGAGCTTAAAGAAAGTATTTACACAGCAAATAATGTCAACTGAGAAGCTAAAATGAGAGCTAAATGCTGACTGGTCACATGATACAAATCACAGTAATGGGCAGAGGATTGATGCAGGTGTGCTAAAATTATTATTTTTCCTTGTGATATTTTATAGGCACATCCTGGACTATCACTTCATGAAAACAGAAACCACTTGTAACAAAATGACTTTGGATACTTGGGATGGTTCAGTTTGGAGCAACTTGAAGAGAACTATTTTAAATGGGATAAAAGCTATTTCAACACTCAGTAGTAGAGAAAAGCAAGTTTTAAATCACATTTTACTAGCACTATTGCCTATTCAATTGCCATTTTTGTTGTGCAATTCATCATAAAAAACACATGCAAAAAGCAGTATAAAACCAAATGTAATATTATATTATGTGTAACTGGTATTTTTCAGGCAAATCACGCTTATTTCCAAAGCCAAAAAACTTTGCTTCTAATAAGAAACCGGGAGAAAAATACTTATTACCCACTAGACAACACGGAACTGTTCTCAAACTAGGGAATCAAACACAGCTGGGAAAGGGAGGCAGAAAACAAGGTGAAACTGGCTGCAGCAGCACTGAAAAAGCTCTAGCTGTGCAACAGTGAAGAGGAACAAGGGAGCAAGCACTGTGAGTTACATCTCCTCTCCCTCATTTCTAGCCCTGGACTCTCTCCTGCCCTGCACATCTGCCAGTGACATACACAATCAAAGAATGGTTGAGGTTGACAGGGACCTCTGGAGGTCACTTGATCCAACCCCCTTCTCAAGCAGGGTCATGTAGAGCCGTGTGCCCAGGACCATTCCCAAGTGGCTTTTGCGTATCTCCAAGGATGGAGACTTCTCAACCTCTCTGGGCAACCTGTGCCAGTGCTTGGTCACCCTCACAGCAAAAAAGTGTTTCCTGATGTTCAGAGGGAACCTCCTGTGTTTCAGCGTGTGCCCATTGCCTCTGGTCCTGGCACTGGGCACCACTGGAAAGAGCCTGGCTCCGTCCTCTTTGCATCCACTCTTCAGGTATTTATATATGTTGATGAGATGTAACCCCCTGAGCCTTCTGTTCTCCAGGCTGAGCCTTCTCTCAGCCTTTCCTTGTAGGAGAGGTGCACCAGTCCCAGACAGACTCCCCCATGGGGCACCCCACAGGTGGAGGACAGCTGTGCCCTCAAACAGCTACTGCAGTCACGAAACATGCTTTTCTAACTTGAGTGGATGCCAGGGTGTCATCCCAGAAGGAACAACTTGGCCTACCATACCAATTTTAGGGATTTTAAATCTAACAGAACCAAAAAAATCTTCTTTTCAGAACACCTTCCCTTTAAAAATTATATTATAAGCAGCCTAACACCTGTGATCCATCAACTTATTTCAAATGTAAATTTCTGCTCCAAAAATCCAGACATATAGGGTGATACTAATTTGCCCTGACACAGAGAAGTATTCAGTTTAATGTATCGATTAATTTACTTTTAAGCAAAGCAAGTCTCTATTCTCAACAGCCAAATTTGAACCAGTTCTTGCCCTAAAAGGATTCTCAATGTCCCAGCTCCGTAGCTAAAGCTTCTTACATATTTTGTCAAATGAAACAGAAGACGCACAGGTGTCGATGAAAAATATCTGGAAAGGATCTCTGATATTAGGACCAACTGCTTACTAATGTCCCAGCAGTTCCCGTCAGGAACTATGAAGAAAAATAAGTTTCCAAACATTTGTATAATTGAAGTTAAACTGAAATGAAAGGAACACTTAATTTCGTCCTAATTGGAATAAACTATAGCAGGGGAAATGCAGAAGAAGATGCCTCTGCTCATTTCACACAAATACACCAAAAATGCTGGAGCCTGTGAATCAATGTTAACTGTTCATCACTGCTGTTTACACACTTCTACAGATAGTTCATCTCCAAATCAATACTGACATCAGGGATAACTGCACAGTAATAGATACAGTGAAAGAGTTCGACTTTACATTTGAAAATATTATTTTCAGAGGAAGACTACATTCACTAAGCAAGGAAGGTTTACTCTAAAGATATTCAGACTTGCTTTTTAAAACCTTATTTTTGAAAACTCTACCCAGAAGTTCTAACTACTACAAACATCCTTGGATATTCAGGACATTTTCTAAGCCATCTATAGTTCCCAAACAACACTATCCTTCAAGTGACAATTTTTCATACAGTGTCTACATAAAGTAACTGAAAATTCCCACTTCACGAGACTTTTTTAAACTGTACTTTTCTGTATGCACAGAATTCCACATTGCCTGTAAAGCTTTTGTAGCCTACAAGCATATTTAAATAACTGGGCCCTTCTTTTTAGTGAATTCTGTATTTTAGTATTTCTGTCACACTATTACTCACTGCAGTAAAAACAGGACGCAGACAAAGTGTTATAAGCACATATACTGTATGCTCATGAAGCTAAATAATACCATCCTCCCCAGACAAGCTATCAATACTGTAGTACCTGGACTATGTACAAATTCTATCTGTACTTCCTCTTCTATGCAAAGATTTCAACATGTAGCAGTAGCATACTGCTTTTCCAAATACAGGGTTTCAGCAATACCAGAGCTATACAAAATTTTGCGGTTTGGTAGTTTTAATAAAGAGCACAAACTTTACTTGTACGATACATATAAACCAAGCAGTAGCGTCTGCTGCCCGTACATACAATCATGGAGTTCATAGCTAAATTAGTACTGCGATCTGCTTCTGTCCTTGAACATCAAACAAATATTCAGGTATAAGTAATGCAGAAAAGACTGTTAGGATATATGATTTTGAAATGTCATTATGTGGGGAATCAGGGGGACGGTCTCAGCATTCAAGAACAGCTGCTCGCAGGTCACACAACTACCTTCACCACTAACAGTTTGGTCTTATCACAGGATTATCATGAGGTAAGTAATTAAATTCTTTATACGCTATGTTGGTATACTGCTAGATATCTTCATATGTAACTACTAAAAAGGCCAGTGGAAGTGACAAGAGTCCAACATACTGGTATGCAGCCAAAGTCCTTGGAACGTTTGGTTTAGGGCCAAAAATCCCAAATATGGCCAATATTTCAATAAAATTAAATTAAACACAGAATTAAATATGAGATCATACAATAGTCACAGAGGCCAACATGATGTTCCATATATGTAACTACTGTAGAATTTTGGAAGTTTTTGAGAGCCTAAAACATCTTAATTCATCACATGTGGTTTCAAAAAAAAACAAAAACAGATATACTTATTTTTCAGAAATATATTTTGTATGCTAACGATAGTTATTCAAATTTTAAGTGTATTGGAATTCACTTTATCTTCTACGTTCCATGTAATTCTTTCCAGCTCATTGTGATACTTCTTATCAAATTTTATGTTGTACCTACACACACCAATATATATGACACACTAATGCAACAAAACACCTGAGCCCAAGTAAGAGGATGTCTTTGAGGGGACAACAGAGTAATTAGATATTTCAGACAAAAAAAAATTCCAAGAAAACAACATTTTTTTGCATAAAATTAAGAATTCCCCAAATTTATAGAAACTGGCCCTGCGACAATTTTAGATCACAAAGTACGACTGGAATGGCTTCTCCAAACGTAAAAAGATTACAGCAAGTCTCAAAGGTTTCATGAAAAAATTGCTAATACCTCTAAAATTTGTATGGCTGGGATGAAGTGTTGCTAGACTGCCTCTGCTATGAAGGACAAAGTAATTCAGACATTGTGCAGAAATTTGTCCCAAATTTATCAGAGACAGCATAGACAAAGCACATGATTTTTGATCAGCATCTGCAGGCCTTTTTAAGTTCTGTGTTACGAACAAAGCCCATTTTTAGTGAAATGTAACTATTTCTGCCTCATAGACACTGCAGACTAAAGGGACAACAGCAACTAAGCAAACTGGAAACTTAAACATAAAAGATCTGCTGCCACCACCTCAACCTGTGAGCTTCATGGGCCAAGGACACAGAGATAAACAGAATGAAGTTATTTTAACAATGGCATAAGCTGCATACCAAAAACTAGCAACAAAAAAATCTGTTAAACTGTGGATGGATTGTTAAACACTTAGACTAAAGAAACAAAAGAAATATATTTAATCCAGTAAGGTTATGGCTACATGAATGAGTAATGCAACAGGAATGGGTCTGGAGGGCAGAACAGTAGGTGCTGCGATACTGGTGCCCACACTATATGCATTTCACAGTTCATGTCAGCTGTAGTCTGGCTCCATGGACTAACGGCCCACTAATGCAGAAGTTCATTCAGAGTGCACTTCTGGCTCAGCTTCATTTTAAAGGAGCCCAGTTTGTGTGTCTTGCTCTTTTGGAGCTCTTATAAAGCGCTCTCTACTAATCTGAGCTAATACACTGGTGCAGGCATACTCTGAGAAGACAACAATGCGGATATGCCCAAGCCCTGTTCTCTCTATACACTTCACCTTTTGTGATAATTACCGTTTGTAGGTCACACAGGAAACAGACTAACTTGGATTTCAGCAACGGAAGAAAACAGTTCTGCTCTATCGGCATTATCATCATGGCCTCCACAATCTGAGCCTTCCTTAAAAGAATTAACAGTTGAAGATGCAAGGTGACGGGAAGCTTTCAAACATTTAAATCTGGTTCAGTGACATGATAATGTTCCCTACCACATTATCCAGAACAGCTATTTAAACATAGCTCACGGTCACCAAGAATTCCTGC